TCTTCCTGCATTTGTCCAAATATATACTTTTGGTGTCATCTAAACAGTGCGTGCATGCGTGGTATCCCTTGTTTGTCTGTCTTGAAAGGTTACTGAGAGCAGGCCAATCATTGATGGTTACAAACAGCAATGCATGTAGGTCAAATTCCTATTGGTCGTGCTCATCCCACACACGTACACCTTTTCCATTCCACAGCTGTAAAATTTCTACAACTAATGGCCTTAGGTACACATCAATGTCGTTGTCGGGTTGCTTAGGGCCTTAGATGAGCACTGGCATCATAATGAACTTCCGCTTCATGCACAACCAAGGAGGAAGGTTATAGATACATAGAGTGACGGGCCAGGTGCCATGATTGCTGCTCTGCTCCCCAAAAGGATTAATGACATCCATGCTTAAACCAAAACATACGTTCCTTGCGTCACCTCCAAAGTCCCCCCACTTTCTCTCATTTTTCCTCCACTGCGACCCGTCAGCGGGTGCTCTCAACTTCACGTCTTTCTTACGGTCCTCTTTTTGCCATCGCATCAACTTGGCATTCTCTTTGTTTCTAAACAGACGTTTCAACCATGGTATTATAGGAGCATACCACATCACCTTGGCAGGAACCCTCTTCCTGGGGCACCCACCGTCAACATCACCAGGGTCATCTCGTCTGATCTTATAATGCAATGCACCGCATACCGGGCATGCGTTCAAATCCTTGTACGCACCGCGGTAGAGGATGCCGTCATTAGTGCATGCATGTATCTTGTGCACCTCCAATCCTAGAGGGCGTAGAACCTTCTTTGCTCCGTATGTACTGTCGGGCAATTCGTTATCCTTTGGAAGCTTCTTCTTCTATATTTTCAGTAGCTTCTCAAATCCGTTGTCAGATACACCATTGCCTGCCTTCCATTGCAGCAATTCCAGTGTGGTACCAAGCTTTCTATTGCCATCTTCGCAATTTGGGTACAACCCTTTTTTGTGATCCTCTAACATGCGATCAAACTTAAACTTCTCCCTTTCACTTTGGCATTGTCTCTTCGCGAATTTCATTATCCGGCACATCGTCCGGTTCCTCTTGATCTTCAGCTTCCCCCGTTGCAGCATCACCGTATTCAGGGGGCAGATAGTTGTCATCATCCTCTTCTTCTTTGTTGTCTTCCATCATAACCCCTCTTTCTTCGTGCTTGGTCCAAACATTATAGTGTGGCATGAAACCCTTCTCAAGCAGGTGGACGTGAAGGGTTTTCCAGTCAGAGTAAGACTTCGTATTCCCACAAATAGGGCATGGACAACACATAAAACCATTCTGCTTGTTTGCCTCGGCCACTTCGAGAAAATTATGCACGCCCTTAAGGTACTCGTAGGTGCGTCTGTCACCGTACATCCATTGCCGGTTCATCTGTGTGCATTACATATAATTAAGTGTGTCAAAAACCATTACAGAACATCATGAATAGAGAAGTGACCAAATTAATAGAAGTTCATCATCACATTAAGTTCATACATAGTTCATACATAGTTCTCATTGAACAACATACATCTCTCTAGAGCATCTAATTAAACAACACATTGAAACTATGTAAAACATTTCAATGCAACAACAAATGCGATCATAATCGCAGCTAAGGTAACTATTGATCCAACGGCATAATGATACCAAGCCTCAGTATGAATGGCATATTTTCTAATGTTTCTAATCTTCAAGCGCATTGCATCCAACTTGATCTTGTGATCATCGATGACATCCACAACATGCAACTCCAATCTCATCTTCTCCTCCTCAATTCTTTTCAATTTTTTCTTCAAGTAATTGTTTTGTTTTTCAACTAAATTTAATCTCTCGACAATAGGGTCGACTGGAATTTCCGGTTCACATACCTCCTAGATAAAAACATATATGTCATGTTGGTCGGCATAATTGTCATAAACACTAAATGAAACAAATAGTTATAAAATATAATATATACCACATCTGAATCATAGACATGACGAGGGCCGGCGGAGGCGGATACCAAAACCATCGCACAATATAATAACAAACAAAAATAAAAGTAAGAAAATTATACAAGTATCTATCTAAATCATAGAAGTAAGATTTTTTTTCTTTTAGAAAGAAGGTAAGAACAAGAGGCTCACAACGGTGGTGCAGGCGACGAGATCGGTGCGGGCGACCGACGGCGGGGCGGACAGGGACAGGACAGGACAGACAGCCAAACCTAGATAAATCTTGAGGAAAATGGAGCTTGGAGGAGAAAGCTTAAGTGTGGCTCGGGCATTTCATCGAACACCTCATGTGCATAGGAGGTGAGCTAGAGCACCACAAAACTGTCCCACGGCCGGCCAAAAAGACAGAGCCTGGCTCTGCTCTCGGGCAGGGGCGGGGGTATATATAGGCCTCTCTTTACTCCCGGTTTGTGGCCAAAACCGGGACTAAAGGACAACCTTTGGTCCCGGTTCCAGCCACCAACCGGGACTAAAGGTGGTGGGCCAGGAGCGAGGCCCATTGATCTCGGTTCGTGTCTGGAACCGGGAGCAAAGGGGTCAGACGAACCGGGACCAATGGTCCCCGAGGCCCGACCGGCGCCCTGGCCTCACGAACCGGGACTGATGCCCCCTTTGGTCCCGATTCGTGAGTGAACCGGGATTAATGCCCTTACCTAGGCCTCAATCAAAGCCCTTTTTTCTACTAGTGCATTGTGCACTCCATAGGAATAACTGGACACATGACAGGGATGGTTATGACCCAGTTTAGGCGATAAAATGGGTGCATGAGACTTTGACACTACTGGATTTGCCAGTAGGACGCTCGAAACATCCTGCTGATCAGTGCTGGAAGCAACCTGACCCGGGGTGGATTACAATTAACAGTGATGGAGCAATCAACGGGGATGCTATGAAGGGGGGTGCTGGCGGAGTCATTCGCTCCCACCTAGCGTTCCTTGCCGCGTGGAGTAAAAATTTACCTGCAATCTCTGATCCTTTCATTGCCGAGCTGATGGCATTCTGGGAGGGGTGATCTTTGCGCGCCTCCGGGGTTACTCTCATGTGATCATACAGGTGGACTGCCTTGAGCTAGTCAACCTATGGAGCTCGAGAGGCAATAACCGGTCTATTGCAGCGCCTATCTTAGCAGAATTAGAGGAGATTGTTCTTGATTTTGTTTCCTTTTCGGTTTTCCATGTTGGCAGGTCTCTCAATTGCCTGGCTCATCTTTGTGCCCGTCGAGCGCTGCTCAAGAGGGGACGGAGAGCTGGCTTGATGAGACCCCGAGTTTTCTTATTAGCAGCCTCCGGGCAGATTGTAATTGGATTCTAGTTCATTAATAAAGCTCCAAGATTCGATGCAAAAAAGATTCATTATGTAATGTAGTTTTGTATTATGTACATTTGATATTGTAGATGTTGATATTTTTTTATACAAATTTGGTCAAAGTTTATAAAGTTTGACTCGACACAAATCTTATATGCGGAGTAAAAAGGAACGGAGGGAGTATATGATGGACATCTTTGAAATACACCCTGAACGTTTTTCAAATACACATCAAACATTTTAGCATGACTATGAACATTAGATGGTAAATATTTTGAAATGTAATCTAACTCTTTCTTGCAGTAAACTACGAATATTTTTAATATGCGTGAGATTTTTAATAAACTTACATGGTGAAGATTTTTAAGTACATCATAAATATTTTTTACATGATGAACATTTCTGAAGTACATGATGAAAATTCTTAAAATACATTATGTTTTAAAACTAAGTTGACTGTATACAGTTTTTTGTTATTATTGAACATTATATTATTATCTAAAAAACTAAAATATGACAAATAATAAGAAATACATGATGGAAATGTAAAGGAAAAAATAACTAAAAATGGAAGAACGAAAAGAAAAAATGATATGAGAAAAATAAAATAAAAAGGATGAATAAAAAAGATAAGAATGGAAAAGCGGAAAAGGATAGAAAATTAAACGTATAACATAAAATATAAATGAAAGGAAAAGGAAAGCCGACATACAAGACCTGTGAGAAGGCTCGCATGAAGAGGAAAAAAACCCAGGACAATACAGCGAGGAAAGCGCGGGTGAAAAGGAAAACCACTTGTTGGGCCGACTGACTTGTGGGAGGTCTGTAGGCGAGCAAGATATAGTCTTTTGTGTTGAATTGTTGTGTGGTACTCGCTCTATTTATCGGCTTATATATGTTCGCACGTTCATAGCCGTGTTCCAAATTTTGTTTCATATTTAGAACTGAAGAATTTACAAAGTAGTGTTGATTATTAGTACTCGAGTATTTAAAGCCTGTTCGGTAGCTCTCCAGACCGTCAACTCCGCTCCGCGCGAGGAGTTGGGTTCGAGCCACTCCGCCTGATTGCGCTGGCGCTCCCTCCGCTCCCGGAGCTGCAGTTGGGGAGCGGAGGGGATCCGAACAGGGCCTTAGAATCAGAGGACCTTGTCATATTGCCCTTGCTTGGCTCCATAAGCGAAGCAACAAAATAGGCAGGACCGATTTGGCCCAACTAAGCATGCACGGCCTCTGAATTTCATTCATACCGTCAGAGACAATGCTCTTCAGTTGTTTCTCCGATGGTGATGGCCAGCCGCATACGCAGCAACGGCCTAGCCCGGCCACGGCCAGCCAGCGAGATCCCGGGAGCACCGCTCGTCGCGCGGTCTCTTCCGCCCATAAATACCAGGTTCTTCATCCGTCGGAATCCACAAAGCTCGCAGCAGCAACTACACACAACAATCAAATTTCAACCAGTCTTCGACCTATCGAGAAGATGGCCTCCGCCTCCAGGATGCTCACGGTGGCGGTGCTGGCGGCGCTGTTCGCCGGCGCGATGGCCGTGAAAGTGAAGTTGACGGTGCAGAAGGGGTCGGACAAAAAGAAGCTGGCGCTGAAGATCGACTACACAAGGCCAAACGACAGCCTGTCAGAGGTGGAGCTCCGGCAGCACGGCTCAGAGGAGTGGGAGCCCTTGACCAAGAAGGGCGACGTGTGGGAGGTCTCCTGCTCCAAGCCGCTGGTTGGCCCCTTCAACTTCCGCTTCTTGTCCAAGAATGGCATGAAGAACGTCTTCGACGAGGTCTTCTCCACCGATTTCAAGATCGGCAAAACCTACGAACCGGAATATTGATCCACACCGTCCAAGTTTCAGTTGATCAAGATCGTCGTAATTAATTAATCCCCATGCATCAGTCGCGTTGGAAATATGCGCCTCCATGAGTGGATAGCTAGTGAATAATTTTAATTTTTTATGCACATAGTACATGCATATAGTAGCTAGGAGAAGCAACGACGGATGTGTTTGCTCTCCCATGCATGCATCCACTGTCGATCGATGCAGCACTTTTCTTTTGTGTAACCGAATATATATATATATATATTTTTTAAAAAGACGGATAGTTGAATATGTGTATGATGCATGCAGCCATTGTGTAACCGAATATGCTCAAGAATTTGAGATAGCTGAATATTTTTTTTCCATTCACCTTTAACTTTGATACGCTTCTTTATGCATGGTACTCCCTCCATAAAATAATATAAGACCGTTTAGATCACTACTCCCTCTATAAACTAATATGAGACCATTTCGATCACTACTTTAGTGATCTAAACGGTCTTATATTATTTTATGGAGGGAGTACTTAATTTGAGGTAACGGGGTGCAATATGTCTGAAAGTGGTTTCTGAATGATCTACGGAAGAAAGTTCTATTCTTTTGTCAGGAAAATCAGTAGCACACATTCTTTAAGTGATTTACAACTGTCCTTTTTTGAAGTACAGGGACGCATATTTTTATGCAAATCTAAATTTTGTTTGTGTTACTTTAAGAACAATTCAGTCACTAATTTAATAATCACAAAAGCGAGACCCTGTATGTCATTGCTGGTAGACACATTGAAGTGAGTGGATTGCTGAAATGCCCTTGAAGAAGCTATGTGGGCACCGACATTTCTTTTGGGTGCCGCACAACATCTTAAACATGACTTGGTTTCTCCTTTTTATGAACGCGCATATTTCCAACGCGACTCATACATCACTAATCCACCTGGTCTGATGGGTGATAAAATTCTCAGTGCAAGAGACGGCCCGCTCTTTATATAGGAAAAATCCATCCTACCACCCGGTGGTAGTTACCCCATATGTCTCATATACTACCATGTGGTACTATATATACTACTTTATCATTTTAAATATATTCATATACTATATCTAAGATATTTCAAAGCAAGTCACATGAAAAAAAATACATATGAACCCATAGTTTTTGTTATATTTGTGAAATACAAACATATTTGTATGTAAAAAAAAGTATACTCAAAACATGGTATATACTACCTAAAAATTAGTATATATACTACCTAATCATTGTTATATACTACATACTACACGTACGTACTCTCAATTTTGACAGATACTACATACGACATAAAAAACGCAAGTGATGGTAACTACCACTGCTTATACACACACACACACACACACACACACACACACACACACACACACACATACTCAAAAGCGTGTGAAAACGTTCAAGATGCACAAATTATATGTTCATGATGTATTTATTTAATATATATACTCAAAAGCGTGTGAAAACGTGCAAGATGCACAATTTATATGTTCATGATGTATTTATTTGTATGAAACTCAAAGGTGTGTGAAAACGTTTACAATGAACAATGCACATGAGAGTGATTTGCGGAGAAAACACGTCGCCTTTTTTATTGTGGCGGAGATCCTTAATCCATTTAGATCCTGTCCACAAAGCATGCATTATCCTGAGGGGCGGCACATGAACCCAATGAAAATTGCAACCAATGGTAAATTAGTGTTAATTATTGTTAATTTAGAGATGAAGAACTGAGTGTAGTGAAAATTATACTAGCGGCCTGCTGGGATTAGCTTCCCCATTTGTTATTTACTACTGTTGAATTATATTGTTTGAGGAAATGCTCATGTAACATATTTGTTTTTCAAACTTTGTACATTAATAGTTAATACACATTCTCTACCTCAATTGTCAAATTGGCCCTAAACTGGTTTATGCTAGCCTCCTCTTGCTCGACAGTAGTATGCGTGTCATGCTCACTTTGATAGGCGGTGGTCCGAGAGAACAAGTTGTTCAAAAGAAACCCTACCAATACTGTCCCTCCTTATTGACGAGTGAACAATAATATGGATGATTGTATACAGTGAGTGACAGTGGCTGTGGATGTGTGTTTTCTTTTCCAGTATTGTACCGTAGTATGTCGGCAACCTAGCTAGTTGCCTAGCTCAAGCTAGGTAATTAACTGCTGCTGATTGTATGTAGTCCGAGACAGGGAGACTATGTAGTAAGGGCATCTTCAATACGGACCCTCAAACTGCCCGCATACGTCCGTATCGCGAGGTTCGGATGTGATGTGTCATCGAACACGGTCCTGTATCGGTGTGGGAGTCCGGACCGCTGCCACGTAGGACTCATACACCCGAGGCCCATTAAATCCCCCCTCCCGGATACCATTTCCGTCCACTTCACCCCATCTCCCCCTTGATTTGCATCCACACCCTCCACCTCCGCCGCCGCCGTTGTACCTCTTCGGCCGCCACAGAGACATTGCCGGACGTCCGCAACCAGCACCGACGCGCCCACACATCTTTTACGACAGCGCTGTCCACCCTGGAGCCATTTGTACCCGGGTACACTCCGCCCCCCTATCGGCGACCTCCATGGCGGATACCACGCCCGGCAGGTGTTCGGCCAAATGCCATTTAGCTTAATTTGGGATGCGATGTTGGTTTTTGAGAGTACGAAGGATGGCAGGCTGCTCGACCATGGAGGATGAGATGGTGTGCGATGCGTGTGGGTCATATATGCGGATTTCGTAGCCAGGAGCAGAGGGGGGACCTTCTGGCAGCAAGTGCATGAATCGTTTCATGCACAAATGTATATTGCGCCCTACGACATGCACCCCATTCAGGAACGTAATATGGGGTCATTATCGTATCGCTGGTATGCCATCCCGACCATTGTCACCAAGTTTTGTCACGTGGTTGGTCAGCTGGAGGCAAGGTGGCCATTGCGCGTGCTAGAGGAGCAGATCGTAAGTTTGCTTCTTCCTGCTCAACTTGTTCAATCATTCATTCACTCAATGTTGGTCTACACATTATGTAGCCCACATGCGCTGCAGTGATGTACCACAAGACAGAGAGACAGCCATTTACATACACATACTATTGGATGAAGCTGATGGGATAGTATGCGTGGGACGACATGATCCGCTGATGAAAACGTATTGGACATCCGGTTAATCTCTTCGAATTTAAGACATTGTTGTACTAGACTTATTTGCAAGGTATGTATGGATGATTTGCACTATTTTCTATCGAAACTTTGATGAGTATCGGCCAGTTTGCATGAATTTTGTTCGCTTAGTTGAAACCCGGCTTGAAATGTATGTAGGCAGTGTTGGATGGCCACCTCATGCATCCATGTCCGCGGACGGGTTCTCCTTGTCCGTGGATGGATGTGGGAGGAAATTTATGGGTCCGGGTTGGAGATGCCCTAAGTACTACCTCTATGAAAATATAAGATGTTTTTGTAGTTCAACTTATATTTTGGTGAGGTTTCAGCACTTCGAAACTGACAATTAGCTCATGTAATTGATGTATTTAAAAAGCATCTGTCTATACATCCACGAGAGAAGATCGACCGATGACAATGGGAGAAGGAGGCTTAATTTACTGCAGTCGGCCTGTAAAGCAGTCACTTTTTTGGCAATAATAGCATTTACCTACATTACGTTGGATTGATTCAGCACTCTTTGCAGGTGGTACAAATTAAGCTTGACATATGTTGAGGTAATGCCTCCTAACTGGGTGGCAATCTATCTATCTAGGCTACCCTGCCTGACTTGTCACTTCTCAGTAACAGGTACCATGATTTGTAGTGTGATAACGTTGTGTTCCACGAGAACGTAATAAAAAAAGCATAGAGGCTCTTGACATCTTATATAAGATAACTAACACTTGTAAGAGGTTTTGTCCAGTTAATTACTTCAGTTTTGTGAAGTAAGCTGCTTGAAAACTGAATTTGGTCTGTATATTTTGATGGGAAGAAAGAAGAACGTGCGACAAAGCACCAAGGCCATCTATAGCGGCGTCGCGGCATGCGGTAGCGAGGCCCTGGGACACCGGCAAGGCTTCAGCCAGGAGCGAGCCATAGCCAGCAGTAGCCGGGGAAGGCGAGTCTGACTTGCCAGTTCGGGTGGGAAGGTGGGTGCACGCTCGATGAACAAATTTAGCGGTTTATTTGCTTAGAGGAATGGCTCGGGAGGTGTCAGCACAGCGGTGGGCGACAGCGGGGAGGACAGGTCGGTGAGGCTTATTGGGCTGTGTCCCTCCACATGGAGGTGTGTTGGCAGCCCAACATCAGCCCGTAAGTCCAACACATGTCAGCCGTTAATCTTCGCTGCCTCCAACGATTGAGAGCGCTTCTAAGGGAAGTGAGTCAAGGAGAAAACCCTAGCCACTCCACCCTTGCTAGTGGTGGCTGTCATTCGTGAGAGTGAGTGAGAGAGCACAAAGAGAAAACACAACCTGAGAGAGAGGAAGAAGAAGAAGAAGATGTTCTTTCCAGATTTGCTGCATCTGACTAGACAGTGTTCAAGCTGGTGGTTGGAGGCTCAAACGTGCTTGGATCGACCACAAACTTGGTGAGCTCATTCCTTACTTTGAATACTTCGATCTGGTTAGCTGGTTTGAGGATCGGGTCAGTGGAGCATTAGATTTGAGAGTGGTTTTGTCAGCTCTGACTGCTGTAGTTTCAGAAATAGTAGTTTTGGGAGACGGACAGTTTGGGTAGGCATACGGTGTCCGATTGAGCTGAAATTTGGAGGGGATGTCAAGAATTCATGTGTCTACTTGTCTGCCAAATTTGGTGTTGTTTGGTTCAGCGGTTTAAGAGCAGTTTGCAAAACACTGAAGGGTACAGAAGCTGTGTAAACTCTGCTTTGCTGAAATCTTGCCTCGTGTGGCTATTGTTGCTATTGCCGGTTGGCAATGTGGAGAGTGTGTTGTAAATCTTTCTAGAGGTTCTAGAGAAGACTTTGTACTCATCATTCTCATAGTGAAGTTGCATGGACCGAT